CCACATAAGCTCATAACTTAACCAAGGTGAGTTGACTAATCTACCCTTATTCGGCTAACTCTAACACTATATAATATATTTATTAAAAAATCTTTATTATATAATGCTAATACTTTCCTTGGCTTCACATACAGACCACCATATGAAAATCTGAAAATCCGATTTTGAATTTGAGATTTGACATCAAATTCAGATAATTTGAACATCTTAATCAGTCAAATTTGGATATGACCTGACTCAATTCGATAAATATCCAAGTTTGTTGATTATATAATTCTTTTATATTATATAAAATATTTAAATTATATTAGATAAATTTAAGTATTTATATACTGAATATAAATAAAATATTTATTTTATATATAATAATATTAAATACCAAAAATAATTAGTTGAATTCGGATATTGCTTATTTGAATTTGAATTCAATCTGTTTACACCCCTAGCTCTCTCTCTCTCTCTCTCTCTCTCTCTCTCTCCCTCCAGACCCTCCCTCCTTCCCCTCTTGCATGTGCATTTTATGCGTGCCATTCAACTAGTATCCTAAAAAGAAAATTGTTTGACTGGCCATCATCATTCTATATGAGTAGAGATATAGATGGATATATTTAATTGTCAAACTTCGCTTTCAATTTATTATCTTAAATTCTAATCCTACTGCATTATTTATTTTTGAACTGCATTTCTTCCCTAACTGAGATTGTAATTTGCAGTTCTAGAGGTTCCTGACAGTGTTTTCCTTCTTGAGGATTGCCCTCATGATTGGTTATTTCCTCAATGCTCTGCAGTGGTGAGTTTTAAAATGTACATTTTATGTTTGACACCGTGGCATGCATGGATTTGAAATTTATTGGAAAGAATATATTAATTCTAGCATGTTCATGAATTTAAATATTGGTGTGAGATATTTTACATCTTAATTATTAAGAAGTAATGTTTCATTCTTTCTTATTCCATTTGAAATAGCTTTAATTTTGTGGTCTCTTGTTCTGCTACAAGATACTGTTTAATTCTGATCCACAATATGACGGTTCTGAAATTAAGAGATGTTTTATCTGAATTTGTTTGCATGAGAGGAAAGATCAATAATTGATTAATAACATATCCTGACTTCTCAAATATAATAATTGGAATCCCTTTTTGTTGTAAATATACAGGTTCATCATGGTGGTGCTGGTACAACTGCAACGGGGCTAAGGGCTGGGGTAATATTTCTTAAAAATTCTTCATTATCATGTTTCTGATGTACTTTTTGAGTTTGTTCGATTTGATGCTTCAGATTGTTTGAATAAGTGGTGTTTTTGGCATTTTTAAGTTACTTATCAACATGTAGAAAACGCATGTATTGCATGCGGTGATTTAGAGACAGTGGAAAGGTTGGTTTGTTGGAATTGGTGTTTTCTGTTTTTCGATAAAAGTTCTCAGAAAAAAGAAATCAGAAAAAAAGTTGCATTGATGAGAATGAGAGGCCACTTGCTAAAGCAAGTTTTAGCATTATGTTAAGAAGAGAGAAATTTCTTTTTGAAGGATTAACTACGCAATTATGCCATCTGATGTTTCGTTAAATTTCATTTTCTGAAATCTATTTCTTTTTAATTATCCTAGCTAAATATATGATATATGATCTAATGCCAATTTATTTTGTTATCAGTGTCCAACAACCATTGTTCCATTCTTTGGAGATCAGTTCTTCTGGGGTGAAAGGGTTCATCAAATAGGGCTGGGACCCAGACCAATACCTATAACTGAGCTCAATGTGGAATCCCTTTCAAATGCTATAAGATTTATGCTCCAGCCAGAGGTAATTTGATGTAGTCGTCATATGCCAAATCATGCTAAATTTATCTAGAAATGGATTACTATTGAATTGCTTACAACAGTCGATTTCCTCTCTTTGCATATTTGAATCTGAAGTGCAAGTTTAATCAAGTGGAAGTGTAAACATTTCTTTGGACATTATTGAATCTTTTATGACAAATTTGACTCTGTGCTGATTGGCAGATTTGTATTGGGGAAAAACTTTACACTTACATTGGTATGATAAAAATAGTTGTAGTAGCACTAGTAGTAAATACCAACTGAAATTCCATGTTTGGAACTGAATTTAGTTCTGAATGAGCACTTTTTTTTCTCTTTTGGTATATGACAAGCTTCCCTTCATCTAGGTTGGTACTGGAATCTTTTTATTCTTAGATTCTTTAGGGTGCTGTATTCTAGGAGTGCATTGTACACACTTGCCTAGACATTGTTTTGTGTGTGTGTGTATGGAGGGGGGGGAGTGGGTTCTATGAGATGGTAGCTGAAGGATAAAGTTGATTGTACCCTGTCCATATATAGTTATTTTTGTTATTTTATGCACTTTCTGTCTCTGCCAAAAAGAGTGTCTCCATATACATATTAAGTCATCCCTAATCCTTTCAAAAAATGTTTTTCTTTTTCGGTTTACAATAGCCACCTAAAAGTTTGGGGTTGGTGTGACCAGCTTTAGTTGCCTTTGTTCATTCTAGTTTTTCCCAGTAACACAAATCCGTTTTCCACTTGCTGCCAAATGACCTTACAACTGCTATATATTCTCTTTGGGGATTGAATTAGGGTTTATAAGTAAAAGAACTCTGTAAAACTTCTGTGTGTAATTGAGGTTATAGTGAAATTTTCTAGGGTTCATCCACTGATGTAAGCAACCATTTAACCATGTAAAACTTCTGTGTGTGTGTTTGTTTATTTACATTGTTTTCTTTGCTTTCTCTGGTTTCGGTTTCACAAGTGGCTTATTGAATTGGGATTTGATAGTGTCAGTTGAATAAACCAATAATTTCACAGCTGTCCTGCACCTTGAAAGACTGGATTGATCTTGTTTTTTGTTTTGAGAATGAAATGTGAAAAGTGGAAACTGCATATGGAAAATGTGAATATAAAGCCTAAACTTCTTTTGGCTTAGAGGGTACCTTAGGAGGAGGACCTCCCTAAATTATAATGTCCCAAATGAATATATGGTTGAGGCGTTGAGCTTTAATTGGAGCTTACTCATTGCATACTTAAAGTTTCCAGTCGAAAGAATTAGGGTTTTCTTATCATATGTTGCACCTATATTAGGTATTAGGCGGTGTTTTGTTTCTTTATCTTTTCTTCTCTTTATTTATTATTTATTTATTTATTTATTCAGGTGAAGTCACAAGCAGCAGAATTAGCACAGAAGATAGAGAATGAGGATGGAGTTGCAGCAGCAGTTGACGCATTCCACCGGCATTTACCAGCAGAGCTACCGATGACTAATGCAGCCTCAGAGGAAGATGACCAACCGAACCCTTTGCAGTGGCTATTTCTGCTAATTGAGAAATGGTGCTGCCTACCTTGTGCATCATAATATTCTTTTATTATTTTTCCTTTGACCTGGGTGATTTACGTGTTGTATAGATATACGTCTTGTTCTTTAGGCCAGTCAGCTCTGGTATTCCATTCATTTTGTAATAAGTAAAATATCCATATTTATATTGTTTTCTCCATTTAGCATAGCATAAGTTAAATGTATTGAGGTTTCATGTCTTTAGAAGTGATTGATGCCGTTATTATTTCTCAGTTTAAACTTTAAAGTAGCAATAATTTGTCACAGTTGCATTATGCGGGTTTCTTGGTCTTATTCAGTTCTGAAATATCCAATTGGTGAAGGTTTCATAACTTATTGTTTCATCAGAATTCTGTACTCGAAATACTTGTTTTCTTTAGCCCTGCCTGGAGAATTTTTGGTCCATTATTGAATCAAGCCAATTGGTGAACCAATGCGGAGGATATATTTACTTGTAAACTCTTGACCCTTTTTTAATATTTTTGTAAATGTAAAATCTAATCAATTTAGAGTTGCATTTTGCAACCAAAGTAGCACGGTAGTTTATTTTAGGGTAAAAGAATTAATTATACGTTGAGTTTTTATTAATTGACTTAAATATACCCTAAGCGTGCTGAGACAGAAATAGGTAATCATGAGCATTGGAAAAAAACAACTTGAAAAATCTCCTGACATAAATTTAGGAAACGCCAAAAAGGTCAGATAATGCCTCTAACAGAGGTGAAGCCAGTAAGTGTGTCTCCCTACCAAATGAGTCTGTATAACTGTGCAAAACCCTCAAGGGGTATAGAGAAAACATGTACCATAGCACCCAATCCATGGCAATATTGAAAACGTGAAAGCTGGAGAGGTCCAAGATTGCCTCCTGTTACAAAACTCTCCTTGACGCTCCACCGTCCAAACATTTATGGAATGAGCCCCACAGAAAGTCAAAAGTGCACAAAAGATGTAACTTGTAACTGTAGGGACGTAAAATGTGTAAAAAAACCATCCATTCATGTCGTTATAGAAACCAAAACAGTTGGAGCATGAACGTTGCCAGAGAGAACTTGAAGATCGTCGGAAAAGGCTACAAAACAAATGGATACTCATGGCAAACCCCAAAGGCACACCACACACAAATTCGACCAAGGCCCAACAGAAATAAGAAAAAGAATAGAGGGAAAACGAAAATTAAAATGAATAGAACCAAAGATCCCAAATATGCTTCATAGGCCCGGATCAAAACCGTTGTCTCTCAAAAAACCTCTCCAACAAACACAGATATGACGAGAAATAAATGAAAACTCACATCCATAGATGTGAGAGAGGAACCATCACGCAGAGCTCTCATTTAAATAATGGCCATCTAGATATTGAGACTGAGTTGGGAGTTGGGACTCATTTACATTTTCTTTTTTCATTGTTTTTTATTTTTAATTATTTTGATAAAGATAATAAAATAATGGATAATTTCTGTCTAATAGAACAAAAACGTTTGGATGAAAGGCACATTAACTGGGACATGTGTCACACAGTTATTACATGCTCACTCATTGTGCTTACCTAACGTGCCTACTACATCTGAACCCCCTTAAATCAGTGTAGGACAAATTAGTTTTCTTTTCTGGGGTTTATAGTAAGGATTTTTTAGAAAACTGAAATCTTAGGCAAATCATATTGCCTAAACCAATCATCGTGATTGTGATTAGGGGGCTGTCTGTGGATTGGATATTGGTCCAACATGAGCCCATTAGCCCATTATAGAACAGCTCGAAGCTAATTTGGCTATTACACGTCTTTTTGTGCATATTTTCGTGTCTTTCTACGCAAGAAAGACACAAAAAACTCCATTTGGAACTTCCCGAAATCAACTCAAAATGACGTCTTTTCGATACACCGACTTTTGGCGACTAAATCTAAATCTATTACGATTCAAATGGAAAAAGACTCAGTCTGCCCATCTTGTAAACAGCCGAAAGACTGCTAACGGGGCCGCAATTTCTTTTTATAAATTGGAGTGGTGGACTTTCAATCTTCATATCTGAAGGTCTACATTTCTGGGCATGTAGAGCTTTCATGAGATCTATATTTCAGATTCTATACAGTGACGCCAAGAGCAACTTCACTATGTCTTCTAGTATTTGAATTTGTGCCATCATTAGCAACAGTTCAAGATCCAATTGCAGAGTTACTCAGATCTATGTTCTAGATTCTAGATTTGAAGAACCATAACTTCTCCAAACCCAGATCTCATTTCGTCAAAATCAACCATCCACTTGCCCCTAGAATTATCCCTGATCTGAAACTACTTAAACCTCTTAATTCCAAACTAAGACTCCTCATCAAATCACAATAAGATGAGCTGTAATGAAATGGGGCTTGTTCATTAGCATAATTGAAAGGGAGACTCAAGAAAGCGGTTGCTTCAAGTGGAGTCAACCATCGGACGTAACAGCCAACAAGAAAAGAACCATAGGAAAAGAGAGCTCAACGAATGATTGAACCTACACCAAAACCATCATTTATAAACATCCCCATTTGCCAATAATGGGCGATGGAAGGAAAAAGAAATAGAAAAACATATTTTTTCTTTTGTTTCTTTGTTGTATTTAACTAATCCTGTTTAGAGTCTTTAGACAAAGAAAGAGAATTTTTGTCAGTGTTCATCTATTTCAGTTTCGGTGGAATTTTTTGGAACTGAAGAATGAGTCATTGGTTGGTTTTATAAGGACTTACCCAGGTTCCAGCTGAAAGAACAAGCTGCCCTTCTCTTTCTTTTTGTATTGAGTTCATCAATTAAGGTTAACAATGTTGATTCACAATTTTGGTTTTTTTCCATCGTCCATCTCTTTAACCTAGAAAATTTCTAGGTTTTGGTTTTTACGTTTTTGTCATATAACCTGTGTGGCAATATGGTTTTATAAAAATATTTGGAGTCAAGTATTGACGTCTCACAAAAGGTGCATTAATGGGTGGCCCTATATATGTTATGTGGGGCCAACCAATAAGGTATTTATATGTAAGTTTTGAATGTTCATGGAGGACATTTGGCAAGGAGGTCAGGAAGCTCCTCAATGCTAGATTCATAAAAAAAGTAGAGTACCTGAATTGAATAGTCAACGTAGTGCTTGTCAAAAAGGCAAATGGGAAGTGGCACATATTATGCATTGATTATACCGACTTTAATAGAGCCTATTTGAAAGATAGCTTTCCACTCCCTATAACAAATCGATAGATAGATGTCACCTTGGGGTTTGAGTTACTTAGCTTCATAGATGCCTACTTAGGATACAACCAAATGTATATGGATCCTTTAGATCAGGAGAAAACTACCACAGTAACTAAGACTGACTTGTATTGTTATAAGGTCATTCCCTTTGGCCTTAAGAATGCCGAGGTGACTTGACTTACCAGCAACTTGTTAATAAGATTTTTTTTTATGATTTAATTGGAAATAAAGTATGAGTTTATGTAGATGACATGGTCGCTAAGAGTAAATTTTTTTGTTTGCATATTGTCGATCTTATCGATGTGTTTAATGTTTTAAGAAAATACAACTTGAAGCTCAATCTAAACAAATGTGTGTTCAGCATCAAGTCGGGTAAGTTCCTCTATTACATGGTTATTCGACGTGGTATCGAAGCCAATCTCGAGAAGATCTAGGCAATCCTGGATATACAACCTTTGAGGTCTGTTAAGAAAGTCCAAAGACTCACAAGTTGAGTCACCACCCTTAATTGCTTTATGTCCAAACTAGCATGACAGTGCATACCCCTTTTCTAAGTCATTAAAAAGCTAAAGACTTCCAATGGACCAAGGAGTGTTAGCTTGCATTTGACGAGCTCAAGCGATATCTCAACTTGTCATCGTTATGGGAAAATGCCAACAGCCTCAAATGGAAAAATGCCATTCCATAAGGAATGGGAATAGGATTGCGATTCTACCCAACTAAACAGTTAGCCATTCCGATTCCAATTCTAGACTCCTATTCCAATGAACCAAACAGGGCTGAAGTTCCATATGGGAAGATCACAGTTTATCCTTATTATTTATGTGGCTAGTTATGTTATCACTAGGGATGTCAATGGGTCGGGTTAAATGGTAAACTCTGTTTGACCCAACTCTATAGGGTTAGATTAGGGTCAACATATTTGGCTTTAGGGTCAGTTAGGGTTTTGATTCTTCAACTCGAGTTGGGTTCAGGTTTTGGCTTTTAACTCTAATACCCTAAAAGTTTAAAATTTATTTACATGTTGGTTTTGATTTTCTTATTTTTTTTTAAATGGGAAAAGTAACACCTTAGAATCTATGAAACAATTTCCTAACTTGGATTAATAGATTTTAGGTCTTCAAAATGTATTAAAAAAATACAATTGAAATGCTACGAGTTAGGTCGGGTCAGTATCAGGTTAGACCTTATAGGGTCAGGTCGGGTTAAAAAATTATGTGTTTTTAAGGTGGGTGGGTCGAGTTCGGGTTGAGGCATTATAGGGGCGGGTTAGGGTTGAGACAAACCCGTACCAAAACCGACCCATTGACATCCCTAGTTATCACCTCAGCACCTCCTTTCTATCTATCTAGGAGAAACATCCTTTCAACAAGATGCTTCGTTATACAATATGGATCTAGAGCTTAGAATCTGCATTTGTTTTTTTTTTAACTTTTTGAATTTCCTTTGTTTTAAACATTATAAAGCGAATTCAAACTTCATATAGGATTTGGTAGGGGTGCTCATGGTTTTGGTTAACTGAATTGTGGGCCTATTTTTAAAACCAAACCGGTATTATCGATTTTTGGAAAACTGGTAACCAAAATTGACCTATTTTTTAAACCAAACCAGTATTACTGGTTTTGGGAAACCAATAACCGAAGCCGATTGATTAACTGGTTGACTGGTTCGATTAACCATCGATTTTTTATATTTATAGTATATATTATAAATATATATAATAAAAAACTAGATATATATAATTATATTTTAAATAATAAATAATATTATTAATTATAAATATATATTTATATATAATACATATTTATTAATTTATAATATATAATATATGCATAAATTTATATAAATATATAAAAATATAAGTGTATCGGTTGGTTTCGGTTAACCGAAATTTTCGATTCAATTAAGTTTTTTTCTTTGGTTTTTCTTACTCACATACTAAATGGATTGGATCCGGACTAGAATGGATCCAAGTTAGACCGATTATAGCCCTATCTCGCAGTGCTTTCTTCTGAATTTTACCAGATTATAAAGACCAATTTCATCAGATTATTCATTTTAATTTCCATTGCATTAAATCTTTTGACATATCATGTCGCGAGGAAAAACGAAAACAAAACCTTTCATTTCCTA